TTTTTTTTTTTTTTTTTTTTTTTTTTTTTTTTTTTTTTTACTGGGGACTTTGTGCTTGTGAGGCAGGCAGTGGCACCACTGAGCTAAATCCCTGGCCCTGTAATTTTTGTTTTTTAAACAGTCTTACTGGAGCTGGGGATTTAGTTCAGCAGCACAGCACCTGCCTGGCAAGCATGAGGTCCTGAGCTTGATCCCTGGCACTAAAAAAAAAAGTCTGAGTCTTACTGAGTTACCCAGGCTGGATTCCAGCTTAGTTTGTTTGTTTGGTTTGGTTTGGTTTGGACTTTTTGAGAGAGGGCCTTGCTATATATAGTTCAGGCTAACCTTCAACTCACTATGTAGCCCATTCAAACTCATGGCAGTCCTCTTGCCTCAACCTCCCAAGCGTTAGGGTTACAGGCATGTACCACCACGCCCAGCAGTCCAACTTGTGATCCTCCTGCTTCAGGCCCTAAGAGTGTTAGGGTTACGGGCATGCATCACCATGCCCAGCTTCCTTTAATTCTTTATAGGTAAAGCTTTCCAGGTTTCTTGGCATCTGTGTCACCATTACATCACGTAAGAAGAAGGTGAAAAGGTCTAATCCAATCTTTTCTCCTCTGCCTTACCCTTCAGGCTCTACAGTAGAGCTTTCAAAGCCCTTTTTATTGAACTGTAACCCTCCAAGAGAAATGTGCTTAAGTCCCTTATCCAAGCGACTGATTCAGAGATTTAAAAGAAGTAAAAGGTTATCTTTCTCCTCTCCCTCTACCCTCCCCCATTGTGGGGATTGAACCCAGGGTCTCACATGTATAGTACTAAGCAAATGCTGTACTACTGAGCAACATCCCTAGCCCTTTTTTATATTTTTCATTTTGAGACAGGTTCTTGCTGTGTGACAGGAACCACCCAAAGGGAATAAAATGGTCTGGGAAGGGGCCTCACAGGGGTCAATCCTGCCTGTCTTGTACTTTTACAATAAAACTAAATATATAAATGGGATCCATGTCTCATACACAGGCCCTGACTTAAAAATACAATGGCTGCCGACCATCCTGGGACCCCAGAGGCAGACAGTGATCATCAGCACCTGAAAACCTGCCTTCCCCTAGTGTCCTGCTCACACGGGAGTGGCCTGGAGCTGATCCCAGACGTTGACCAGTCAGGACTGGTCACTGTCAATACAGAGGACCTGAGTGGAGACTTTGGTGGTGTAGTGATTAATTTTGATTTCAACTCAGTTGTCTTTCCAAATGCCTAGGAGATTAATAAGGCACAACCCTGGTGTGTCTGAGTGTTCATGGAGCTGTGACCTGGGGGGCTGTGTCTGGGCCCTGGGCCCTCCTTTCTTACCTGCTCTCTGCTTCTGGAATCCATGAGTCTAGCAGCTGTTTTCACCCTGCCCTTCTGCCATTATATTTTTGTCTGAAATCCTGCTGACCATGGACTAAAACCCTGAATCCCAGTAATCCTCACCTTTTCTAAGTTGTGGGTGTCAGATACTTTGCCTTCTCAGTGAAGGAAGGTTGACCAGTACAGGCAGGAACCTTTGCTATGTGTACTGTATTCACCACCTTTTTCCTTTGTTCTGAGAACTGCTGGTCTGACTTGCTCTTGGTCCGGGCTGCAGCTTCCTTGGTTTCCTCATGGCTAGAGCAGAGTCTCACTTTAAAAAGCCTCGCCTATGCCTGTACTTCTTTGGAGTCTGGTCTCCTTTCTACAGTTCCTGGTCCCAAGGCCAGTCTCTAGTGACAGCTGCGTTGCTTGGGCTGACCTCAAACATGTGATCCTCCTGCCTCAGCCTCCTGAGTAACTAAGATTACAGAAATGCATGTGCCATTACTCCTGGCTGTCTTTCTCTTACTTCATAATCCTGTTCAAAAAATGATGATAGCCAGGTGTGGTGGCATATGGCTGTATTCTCAGCAACTGGATAGGCTGAGACAGGATTTCTTGAACCCGCAAGTTTAGGCAACATTTCAAGACCCCATATAAATAAATTCAACAATGTATTGGTTTTGTTTTATTTTGTTTTGAAATAGGATCTGGTTACACAGTTTAGACTAGCCTTGAACTTGCTCCAGTCCTCCTGCTTCATCTCCGGAGTTCTGAGATTACAGGCATGAATCACCATACCTGGCAATATAATGTACATTTTAAGATACAAATAATATTGTTTGACACATTAACTGATGTGTATTAATTGAAGTTGTGATAAATAATCACAAAAAAATCTGTTGTTATCCTTCAGATTGTTTTCAGAAAAATTTTTTTTCCTCTCGAGTTTATTGGTACATTTTAGGTATACAGTACAGTTACATTATTCATCATTGGAATCTTATACCTTCACATGACAGGTCTTGGTTCTTATTTTTTCCCCTATTTTCAGAAATTATGCACAATTTTTAAAACTTAATTCCTGTCACTCTAGTTTAACTGTCTCCATATAATTGAAAACTTTCCATTTTAGAAGCTGAAAAATAGTATCAGTTCAGGTGGTCAGAGTTGCTTTTGTTTTGTTATGTTTTTCAACAGTGAGGGGGAAAAAGTCCTGTTTTACAACTTACCAGTGGGAGAAGTCAGAAGTTTACTTAGGTAAATAAACATGTTGGAGTCACTTCCACATGTTGAATGCCTTGGTTGTTAAACCATAGTGCTAGGCAACAAGCTTTCCTTCTTCCTTTTCTTGAGGTTTAAAGAATCAAGAATTTGCTTTTTTGTTATTTTTTTATTTTCAGGTTAAACAGGAAGATGAGAAAAGCTGATCTGTGTTTGAGCTCTGAAGGGGCTGAGGTGATTTTAGCCACATCAAGTGATGAAAAACACCCACCTGAAAATATCATAGATGGGTAAGAGTTACTGAACTGTTTTTCTTAAAGATTTAACATCATACAGGGAACCCATTTAGTATGGGAAGTGGTATTTTAAACATGGTGTAACAAATGTTTCATGAACTAGATTAGTTGGTAGTATTTTATATTTGCTCTTATTCCTGGAACTAATTTAGTTGTTGATGTTTTAAGTTTTGGGGGTTTTGTTCGTTTTTTTTTTTTTTTTTTTTTTTT